CCCCAAAGCCTCTTTAAACATATAACAGAACAACTGTAGTCTTTCAGCATTGACAGTACATGTACATTGACACATTAACACATTAACAATAATCCCAAGAAGTTTTAAAATCCGTCCGTATATCAGCTCAAAGTATGACAGTAGATCCTCTCAGACCTGCTGCCCGCCTGTTTTTCATTATAAACATTTAAAGCTGGGTGATGAGATAAATCAGCTGCTGTGAACTTTTACTGCTGCTGCCGGTGACCGTGTCCGTCTCCTCAGGCTGAAGGGGCCTCCTCCGGCCCTCGAGGGCCTGCTGGCCGTCAACACCCGCCTGCAGAACGGCCGCAGGCTGTTCGCCGGGAAACTACACGGACCAGAATCCTTCACTGCTGACGAGAGCGGTGAGTGAGATGGAGTTTGTCGCTTCTCGCTTATTGAAATCATTCATAAAGGTGAATTAAAGCCAGTATTGCTGCTCAGAAGAGACAGGAACCAGCTCCATGTGCGTCTTTATTCAGGTTTCAGCCTCAGGCCGGTTTCAGGATGAACAAAGACGCTGCTGTTATTCAGGCTCCACCTTAATAACACCTCCGATACTGTTCAGATAATCATCTTCCTTTATTCTAGTTAGAAAAAAAACAGGTCACATGAGGCCTTGATTGGTGTCGGCAAACATCAGAGGCAGGTACAGAGATTCCTCCAGACATTAAGACTGTGAGTCATCTCCTCTATGGGGCTTTTAAAGTTCACAGTTCCAGTGAAATGATTTCTTTTGTGGCATTTGGTTTGACTTTTTTGTCTAATTTCTGGAGGTGGTGTCACCTTCATGTTAAACCTTCAGGAGAGACGACAGAAAAGTTTAATGTAAAGGTTCAGGATCCTCAAAGTAAATATTATTCTACTACCAGCATGTGTCAAATAACATGTTAAATTAATTTTTTTCCTCACATTTTTCAATATTATTTAATTTATTGCATTACATACTATTTGTATTTTTTGTGAAATATTTTAGAACTTTTCTAAAATATTTTTAAAATTTATTTTATTTTATATTCAATTTTTTCACGTGTATTTATTGAGACATTTTTGGTTTTTTATTTCTTTTACAAGCCAGCAATAGTAATCATAATATTAACTTTATTTCTATAGTACTTTCCTAAACTGGAGTTACAAAGAGCTTTACAAAACGTTAAAACACAAACTCAATAGATAAACTGTAAAAGAAATAAAACAGTTAAAAAAAAAAAAAAAAACACTAATGGAGCAAAGTTATTGTTAAGTTATTTAAATGGTCATCTTTACTGGTAGGTTTCTAAAAGCTACAGTCTAGTTTCCGCTGGAGCTTTTTAGTGACGACCTAAAGGCTGTTTCTGGACTTTTTTCTCTCCCGACAAACACAAAATTTAACCCACAAAGTGAAAATTTGGGTTTTTTTGGTGTTTCAGGTAACGTGTACACAGGAACGGTGGACGGGAAGCTGTGGAGGATCGGACCTGACGACAGCCTCACGCTGATCACACACATGGGACAGAATCTACCAGAGTGTGGTCTGTAGTTTATGTTCTGTTTGCTCTGTTCGTTCAGTTTCCTTCCTCTTGTCCTTTTTCATTCCACACATTTTTAGAACTTCAGAGTTTTGAAATCAGACTTGCTTTACCTACAAAAGAAAACTTTTCAATCAGAAGTTCATTTTTTGTATCTTAACATTCACTAGTTTATTTCATGTGACCTCTAAATACAGTTTCATCAAATTTTACTGGAATAACTGCAACAGATGAGGCTCCGTTTGAAAGGAAAGACTCTTTTTCTCGGTTGACATCCACAAAGATGGTCTCTTGGCACATGTTTGTCATCCTTCTGCTCCATTGTTCCCTCTGTTCAGTTAACTGCAGCATCTTGAAACTGAGAGCCGTTAACTTGTTGTGCGTCTGCAGGCAGCAGCACAGACTACGAACTCGTCTGCGGTCGTCCTCACGGAGTCCGTCTGGATCGACGCGGTCAGCTGATCGTCGCCGACTCTTACTTCGGACTGCACAGCGTCGATCCAGAAACCGGGGAGAAGACGCTGCTGCTGGCAAATTCACAAGGTGACAGCGAGTTGGTCAAGGTGCTAAACAATTAATGTTCTCTTCATATCTTATCTGATGCGTTCTGTTTCCTGTCAGGCGCTGATGGCGTCCCCTTTGCTTTCCTGAACGGCCTGGAGATTTCCTCCCAAACCGGCATCATCTACTTCACCGACTCGTCCAGCCGATGGGGACGAAGACACGTCAAACTGGAGGTGAGGCGACGGGAAACGCTTATGCAGCTGTAAAATCAGCCTCAAATCGCCTCTTTTAGTTTGAAAGAGTTGAGACGAGGGTCAAGCGACGCGTTCGTGTGACTCAGTTTGTTCGTCTAATAGACGGTCAGGGAAAGGGAAGCTGATGCAAGCAGTCTTCATTGAGGTTCTTCAGTGTTGCCTGGTAACCGCAGGCCTCCAAAAACACACAAAGGGACACTCAGGCTTGTTCTTCAAATCGCTTGGGCGCTTTTCCAAAAAAAAAGAAAAAAGAGAGAATGCCAAGAGTCCATTCAGCGGCACCTGTGAGGCTCCAGGATGTCAATTAATGTGAAAATCTGATTAACAGAGTTTGAAAACTGACATGTAAACGAGAAGTCTGACTTCCTGGTTAGAACAGGTGAAACGTCTGCTGTAAAGAGGAAACACAGTGAAGATATCAGAATATTCAAATCGACTGGGAAATCTGATGGTATCGTCTGACAGGCTGTCGGCTTATGAGATGACTTGTTTTGACATTTTGGCAACTCGAGTCATTTCAGTGTTTGTTTCCACGTGTGAAGTTGTGTTTATATTTCTGTTTGCAGACCAGATATCCTGCACATAAAACCTCTTCTTTTCTGTTGCAGCTTTTATTTATCACAAACCTTTTGTTATAGGTGGATTTATGTGTATTTTCAGGGGCGCAGATGCAACTAAATAATCATAGAAATAGCCTGTTGAATGATATTATAGGTACAGGAAGCAATGGGTTTCTATCATCCTCTTCCACTCTTTCATTAGTTTATTACCTCTAAAAAATTACAATCTGCGTTGGAGATCGACCAATTATTAGAGCCAGTATTCTGCGTTTTTTCCCTATTATTGGTATTGTTATCTTTATAAACCGATTCCTGATCAAATTAATTAAACATGCTACTCTATCTGTCGTCACTCTGCGGTCATGTCTTGGCCACAGCTCTGTCTTATTGGTTATTAATTTATGTCACAAGAGATCAACAATGAAAGCTGCTGTTGACAGATATTTGTGGAGCGAAGCAGCTCTGGTGAATTCCAGCTGTGTTTGGAAGGTGAGGTCACTTTATTTGACAGAAAACTTCCCTATTCTCATTTCAGACCATTTCATAACCAAAAATGTCTGTTCCACTTGAGTAAATGAACCCATGAATAACAAAACTGGTTAAAAAACAACATTAATCTGTCAAGAAAAACCCCATTAAAGTGACTTAAACCAGACTGTAATCAACTTTAGCTTAGCTTTACTGTGATTAAACTAAGTTACTCTGACCCGTTGGGTGTTTCAGGTGATCGAGCTGAACAGCCTCGGACGTCTCCTCTCCTACGATCCTCGGACCGGAGCTGTGAAGGTGCTGCTGGACTCTCTCTACATGCCCAACGGCATCGTCCTGTCGCCCGATGAAAGCTTCCTGCTGCTGGCCGAGACCAGCATCGGACGCATCCTGAGGTTGTTTTCCACCACTTCAGAGTCAAAACAAGTCACATTTATTCTTAGAGAACCTTTAAAACAACTGGAGTTGAACCAAAGTGCTGCAGCAGGACACTAAACACAATGTCGAAAAGACAAATCTGAATAAAAGTAATAAGAAGTTAGGGTGTCGAGCTCCACTACACGGAAGCTAATCTGACTTTAGAAAGACGTCATGGTGCACCAGATAGCGTTAACAGGCTAAAAGGCACAGCAAACCTCTGAGTGATAGCTTTAGCATAGCACTGTTAGCAAAATAACCTTCAGTTGGCGCTAACGAAGAAAGCATTTGGGCGTTTTCAGCGTAACATGTCCATATGTTTGTGGAAGATTTTGGTGTTTATTTCGACTTCCAACAACGTCTGCTACCTCATTTTCGAAACACAGCTCCACTAATTCAGCAAATATGTTTGTTTGTCCTGTGGGGTGGACATTGCTAGACCAAAGAGTGAGTCCAGAGAGCGAGAGTAGTCCAAGTAGTCAACAAAAACAATACCTGAATCTGAAAAATTGTACAACAGTTTATGTCCTCACAACATGAATAATACAACTACAATCACACACAATGGGGCAAATATTGAGTTTACTTTCTGCTCTAGATATTGGCTGAAGGGTCCGAAGGCCGGTACCAAAGAAATCGTCCTGGACAACATGATCGGTTACCCCGACAACATCCGCCTCAGCGACCACGGAACCTTCCTGGTCGGCATCACGACCCCTCGTTTTCGGAAGCTTCTGCCTCCCTTCCTGGATATGATCGCTCCGTATCCAGCAGTCAAACGCTTCCTGGCCAAGGTGAGCATGTTTGCCGTTTAATGAAGATTCATTTTGTCTTTGATCAAATACCACATTGATGATGTGTGCAGTAAAGGATGATATGCACATCCTGCTATGTGTGGTATTGGCTGTTAGAAGTGGATCCTCAGTGGTTCATTCAGGATATAATTGGCCAAATAAAAACAATATTTTGAACATTGGCCTGCATCAAATCATGATTATCTTTTATGGAATAAACACTTCAGTGAACTAAATTCACAATTTATATTTAAGTGGCAGCAAGAAGAGTTAAAAAGCATAGCAATGTCGTAAAGTTACTCTTCAAAAATGTCATAGTGTAATATGTCATCAGAAATGTCATCGAAAACATCATAGTATAGTATGTCGTAAAATGACTCGTCAAGAACATAGTGTAGTATGTCACCAAAAATGCTGTCAAAAACGTCATAGGATAGTATGTCGGAAAATAGGTCGTAAAAAACATCGTAGTATTGTATGTATTGTATCACAGATTAGCATGTCGTCAAAAACGTCATCAAAAACGTCATAGTATAGTATGT